CCAGCCACTTGGAAGGCTGAGAAGGATTGCACAGAGATTAGGTAACATCACATTTGACATTGTGGAACTAGATTGCGAAGACTGGAGGTAGGGTAACTGGCCAAGGTGTTGTTCACATTACAGTATGCTGATCCAGTAGCTGACCTGTTAGACAGATGGGGCGTCTTCCGGTCCCGTTTATTCCGAGAATCGTGCGTGTTCCACAGAGGGAATTATGTAAAGGATCTTAACAGACTGGGCCGAGATCTGCAAAAAGTGATCATTGTGGACAACTCACCTGCTTCCTACATCTTCCATCCAGACAATGCTGTGAGTTTACACATGTGCAGGGACAGAATTGTAACAGCATATCTGTAGTGCATCCCTTCCACTATTTTTAGGCTTGTTTTTGTTTATTTAGTCTTTACACATTGTATTGAGTCATGTAGGCAGGTGGTTAGAATCATTGATATTTATCACATTTTGTCACTCTCTATTAGTAAATATCACTTTTTTAAGTAAGTCAAATATTTCTTTGACACTTATCTAGTCATTTTAAGTTATTTGCAAAATACCTGCCAAGTCAGATAGAAAACAAAGTCACAGAGTCCATGGGTATTCTAGGAATAAAAAGAAGTTAGTAGTAGTATTAATACAAATACTTTAGGGCCTCCCCACCGATGTTGAGATAGTGATCGGAAGTGACTATGTTACAGGTGCCTGTAGCCTCATGGTTTGATGATATGACTGACTCAGAATTACTGGATCTGATCCCTTTCTTTGAAAAGCTGAGTAAAGTGGACAATGTGTACACAGTTCTATGCAACTCGAACCATCCTTGCAACACCAGCCCAACATCTGGCTTGATGAACCAGTCTCCACCACCACAGCAACATAACAACCTACAGGTGAACAATCATGCAACGCTCAATGCCGGCTCGTAGCCACTTCAGGGATTCCGCTAGCCTAGGATACGAGTGACATTTGCAACCTCATTAGGATGCTGTTGTTTGAATCTGAGAGTGGTGTCCTACTAGGATGCTGTCTCGTGTTGTTTCCGTGTGTGCAAGTACGAGTATCTGTAGGCATGCTTGTGTGAATGTATGATGGCATCTGTTGTCACCAGTTCATGTTTTGTCATTAGCGGTTGCCTGTTTAATGCAGTATGTTTTATCCAACAGTCCAAGTGCCAATATTGCCTTCTGGATGAGTTGCAAGGGAAGAGCTTCTGTCGAAGAAAAGTGTGTATGGTCCAACTTCCTCAACAAAGAATAATCCCATTTATTTTTGCTGATATAAATAGTTTTTATAATAGCTTCTGAAAACTGTAGTACTCAGCCTTTTGATAACCATAATCAGATAATTGAGTCCTATGATTTTTATCATAATAAAGGAGACCATGTATATTCTAATATTTGCTTGATACAGTTTGAGGTGTCATTTTAATCTCATGTGTATTGAATGTCTTATATAAAAAGGAAGGAAATTATGCAGACATGGACTGAAATGTACAGTAATATCTTGACAAAAGAGAACCTTTTCTGAATGTTTTACAGCAAATTGCAGGCTGGTTCGAATGTGTAGATGAGTTTGGTGCTATTTTTTTCTAACCCGTGCTAGAAAAGTGTAGCCTAACACGTGCATATGGCTGGTATGGCAGACAAATGAAGCCTACCCTTCTTTCCCTCTCTTGACTTAGTTCAGGGAGTCCGTGTCTGTGGAGTGTGTGTGTTGCTGTGCCACTTAACCAGTTATGTTACGTGTGTATGTGTACATACACACGCATGCACGCACACGCGCACACACACGCACATGTATATGAATTTGCTAATCTTATATAGTGGCCTTAACGAACATTTTGATAACATTGTTATTGTGCTCTGACTGGCTCAACGCTGTTGCGGTGGTCCATTCAACTTTTTTAATTATTATGGTTACTACAAGTTTATTAAAAAAATATACCAAATTACCTGTCACCATTTTTCAGTATTTTCCTTTTGGTGTAGGTTTCTTACATGATGTCAAGCATTAGGTTAGCTCCTGCAGTACAAATAAACATCACATGGGGTTTTATCTGTTTTAATATTTTAATTTTTCCAACTCTAAGAGTTGAGGGTTTGTTATAATTTTTAGAGCTGTTATCGTGTTGATGTTCCCCCATTCATGGTGAAAAAGATCTAGTATCTAATAAAAGTGATGAAGTGATCGAGTTTTTGTACAAACATATGAATGTATTGTTTCTATTTTTAGTCCTCTTGACCTCTCTCCCCCCCCCCCAACACCACTACCACTACCACTGCTGCCACCATCACCACCACAACACTCCATTAATGCTGCAGACTGTACTTTGTTGACTGCTTGATCTGTTTTACATTGGTTTGATGCTTCATATCATTAAGACGTATCATTAAATCAGCTTGTTTGTGTTATTCTTATATGTATATACAAGTAGTGAGATACCCAATAATACTCTTCATACATAACCCATGGTCTGAGGTGTAATCGGTAGGTGCTTCCATATGGGAATGAGGATTGCTCAAAGGTAATGGACACAAGTATGATGCAGCGGTTCTCAAATGAGGGCCTGGAGTTTTATATCGACATGCATGTGAGGTATTGCAAAAGCAAGGTTGTGATGGATATCTTGTTGATATACCATAGAATGTCATTAAGATTTCAAATTGATACAGATGGTGACAAAAATAAAATGAAACCCATATTCATCAGCATAAATTATCTGGTACTTTTTGTTAATTTTTAATTTTGTATTGTCATAACCATGTGCTAATAGATTGCACTAACATCTTTTATATGTCCAACTTGTGTAATGACAGTTGAATGTTCCAGGTTAACACTGTTTTGTACTTATATTTACATTTGTTGTTAAAGAAAATGGTTTACTCTGTTGTATATTATTTGAAAACGGGCATATTTAAATACAGCAAGTATACATACAGAGAAATTTCCAAATGATAAAGTTCAGACCAAATAAGTAATTTGATTTATATGTTGATTTCATGTAACTGGGTCTGTAATCCATCCATCAAAGTATCATAACAATGTTAAAAGATGAAAGACAGTAATGAAAGTTAAGATGGGTTCCACCTTATTTCTCTCTGTGTATGATGTATATTGTTTCAACAGATCATTGTGAAATCTCATTACAATGAAGTTTGAGGGACCACTATTTATATTTCATCATATTAACATTCTGTTACATGAATGTCACGTCACCCAATTCACTATAAAGAACTGGAAGCTATATATTAAGAAAGGTTGAAACCTGTGGCCTTCAGCTTGTTTTATTTGCATAATTAATGACACTGTTAAGGAAAGGAAATCCAGTGTGATAACTTATTTTATAACACTATTCATTGTTTATAAAAAAATATGCCTATTAACTTTAATGTCTTTTTCTCTTAGTTTAGAGCCTGATGAATTTAAATTGTAGTCATTGCCAAGCTGTATATAGTTAGGAGACTCATTCCTGGTATCATTCTATGCTTTATATATTTTTTCCTTAGCTTTTATAACATTCTTCTGCTTGCAAATGTGTTTGAAGTACGTTCAAAATTTCCACATTGTGCAAATCATGCATAACACATGTAGCAGAACATAAGTGTTTTATAAGTGGAAGTACTCAGAAATGTAAACATGAACTATCTGAAAAGCTAGTGTTTTACTTGAAAGCTACAGTATAAATTATTGGAGTACATTAGACATGAAGAAATGTGTGATCGTGCAGAATAATATTGTATAATTTGCTAACTAGAAAACATTTGCTACAAAGTGGAGTTTCAAATATGAAAGTAATTCTTGGCCCCCACCACAAGGAAATTTTATAAAACCAAAAACTGACAGCTTTATTTATAAACTATTCAGGAATATATTCATTTTAGGACATTTATTGTAATTACAGCATTCACTGTAATGAGTTCTCAGTACATTTCATTCCTAAATATATTTGCTGTTTTTCCATTATTTTATGTTAATTTATCACTTACTGTGTATATTATAATGAAGATACATGCAAACATATCTCAGTTAAACATGAAAGCCCAGGCCCTTAAAAGCAATTCACTTTTAAGTCAGTAATGAACATTTGAGAACTGCTGACCATTGAGCTGGAGTAAATAGGTATACATATAGGAAGGACCAAAATTAGCATTGTAATTTCAGTAACTTGTAACTGTACATGTTGAACTTAATTCCACTTAAAATTTAGAGTAGACCTTTTATCAGCACAAGGTAGTTTCCCGCCCATACAGTGAAATGCATTTGCTATTCCATAGCTCATCTGCTTCTTGCCATGGCAGCCCAGGTCAGTCCAGTGGAATTTGTGGTGGTCAAAGTGGCACTGGGGCAGGTTTTTCTCTGAATCCTCTACTTTTCTCCGTCATTATCATTCCACTGCTGCTTCATATTTACTTATGTATCTTTTTTGGGTGGACAGTGGGCCTCTTAGTGGCCTACTTGCACAGATATATAGTCTCACCCCATCAGATCAATAAAATAATGGTCCAGTCAGTGTCATTCAATGATCATGGTTTGAATGAAGGGGATTTAAATTAATTGTTTTACCAAATGGAGCAGTATGAGGTGGTTTCGTGATTAAGTGGATAGAAATTCAGTTATATACTTCGAACATTCTCTCTTACCGTTGGTAATGAAGTAACCATTTAAATGTGTAATAGCAGTACTTGTGTTCCCTGCTGCAGAATTTAGCCATGTAATCTTGTGAAGAAAGATTAGTAATCTGGCCCATGGTAACAGCAATAAAACAAACATCAATTCCTGTATGTGTATATACCAGTGTAAGTTTTGTATATTTTAAACCGTCTGTTAGAACAGTACAAATCAAGTTGGAAGGCTAATTTTGGTTCATTCTGTATATATATATATATATATATATACACACATATATGTATACATATTTTTTTTTTTTTTTATGTCTCAGAACAAGTTACGGTACAGTACCATGTACAGTTTAAATATTGTACAAAACTTTTGTATGGTTTTCAAAGAAAAGAAGGAAAATAATGCCTTTGATTTGTAAATAAACAGCATCTCAATTTATACATGCAAATCCACGTATATTGCTTACATGTGAGTAATAAGAGTTGGTTGATAAATTTATGTTGTCACATGAGAGTTGGAAGAGGTCAACCCTTTGTTTCATTATTCCTGACCATATATCCTGTTGAAAAATAACTCTTCATAGCACTGAATTATCTCTTTGCCAGGTATTGGTATTACTGTTAAGGTGAAGTGATGCTTGTAAAGCATACCACTTACTCGACCACACGGCATGCCACTGTTTGACGTTGAGTGTGATCAGACCTCAGCAGTATTTGCTTTCATACACTGGAAATATTTCAGGTTTGTGGATATTTTTTTGAATCCCTTATACATATACATTCTGTATTGATTGGTCAAGTTTTACCAGGCAGATTGAACTTAAAATCAAGATGACTCTGAGGAAGCTCCAGAAAATAATAGTAATTTTTGGCACATGCACAGATTAATATTAAAATGGCCATAATGAAATAAGGTGTGAGGTAGACTGGATTCATCTCGCTCAGGTTTTGGTATAGTGGTGGGCTTTTGTGAACACAGTGATGAAACTTTGGGTCTTGTGCAAGGCAGGGAATTTGTCTGATGAGCAGCTGTTACCTTCTCAAAGACCCTGATGCATGCAGTGTGACATCCAAACAGGTGCAATCCACCTTGGGTGAATGTGACCTTTTTCTGAAGTGTTACATTGTAATGAACATCATACTTGTAATGTATTTTTATTTACCAAGTCTGAGAAAGTGCAGGTGTAATCATTTTGCATATCCTATGTCTGTTGTGTTTGATATTGCCACATACAAGTTATCCAGAAAGTAAAAATAAGTCAGTGCAATGAAACTTTCTCCTCCCTTTTTAGATCAAAATTAAGTTTCCTATATCTCATCTCATCTTTTAATGAAATATAAATTATGGCTATTTCATATATCCTGTATTGTGCTTTGAATTTAACACTGAACAAATCCTATGGACACAGTGTGATGAGGACTTCTGAGAATAAGTGGACTAGAAATGTTCTGTGTGTTTCACAGTAGTGAAAACAGGTAAGATGTGGGGTGTGTCATAATATGCAGTGAACTTTTCCCCTTCCATTTGAATGTTGCACACCTTGTGGAAACTGCTGCTCTAGAAAAACAAAATATATTTCTTGATGGGAATTTCTGTCTGCCAAACTAACACCTGAACAGAAGGTTAGCAAGTGCTTTGAGCTCTGTCAATGGAAGAATGGCTTTAGTGTTGTTTTACTTAGTATCACAAGTTTGAAGTGTGAGCAGCTACTTAGAGCCTTTAACGGGAGGTGAAGGTGAATAGTGTAAAGGTGGTGGATGTGAGATGAAAAGTGTCTGGTACCTTTTAATACTCTATTGCCCTGACAATTGACTAGAAAACCATGAGAAACCCCAGCTGAGTTTTTAACAATGTTCTTCCAAGATGTTTACAATTTTCATTAACTGTTTGAAGTCAAAGTTCATATAAATAATACAGTATACAAAAATTTCCTTTACAATGATCGGTTTGTTGACATTGTCTGAGGAAATAATTAGTTTGCCCTGAGAATCATACAAAACCCATAAATACACTCCATTGGCAAAATGCAGTTTTCATATCAAAGATATGACTAAAAGGTTGATACTTGCAATTAGTTTTGATTTCGTACCATAATTATCTTAAAAAAGGAAGACACCTGTTGACTAGCTGTTTTAAATTATAAGTGGTCTGTGTCCTTGACAATGAGTAGCTTCATAATTTGACTCATTAGGATCATTCAAATCGAGAAGAATGAATTGGGTTGTGTGTGGATTTGCATAGAAGAATGTAGTTGGAAAAGCTGAAGGAAAGAGACCACTCTGGGGAATCTTAGGCATGTATTAAAAATTATTATTATGATGGATCTCTAAATTTGGCGTGAGGATGTGGACTAAATTCATCTGGCTCAGGACAGGTCCAATGGCAGGTTAATGAACCTTCGATGTCCATAAAAAGCATAGAGAGTATACTGACTAGTCAAGTGACTTTCAATTTCTCAAGGACTATGCTATGGATATGGCATGCTTGTATCACGTCCATAATGGTGCTGGGTACTGTCTTTTGGAAAGAGGCTGGTTCATTCATATGCTGGTAGGGCCCGGTCATTTGCAAAACGATCAGGTTATTCGGTGTTTAAACACTGAAAATATTCGATATTTTTCAGTAATCGAATTATTCGATATTCGAAGTTATAATTGTGATCCTTGGTTGTGACAGCACAACAGGTTATCTATGACAAAATCGAGTCAGAACAGATTATGCCAGTACAGACAGGTGTGCAGTGTGATTGAATATACTTCTGAGCTCTTCACGTGTTCGGAGAGCAAATATATTTACGATTTTGGGGATGAACACTACGAGGGGTATATGGTGTTCGAGTCATGAAGTTGGTTTGTGTAATTGTTCATCTGGAACAACCAGTTCAGGAAAATAATCTACTTATTATTTCACGTCATGTGAGTAATATTTTCGTTATATCCTTTGACCATCTGAAGTTATGTTAATATAACCTAAATGTTAATGTGATCAGAGACCACACCCTCTTCAAACGACGTAAAGGATAAGTACCCGGTGCCAGGGTAAAGGAAAGTTAAAAAGTTACGACCGAAATACGATTCTGCTATATTTAATATTACCTGCAGCAAAACTGATACTTAAGTTCGTGCGTGAACTGTATATTTATTTGTGCCATACGTATTTGAAAATGTCAAACACTGATTTGTAGGCACCCCCCTCGACGGGTTTTTCATTTGAAGATGGCTGGCTGTCTTCTAGGATGTTGTGCCGTGTAGTCTGGCAGAAGCTTACCAGACTAGACGGCGCAAGAACGCAGACGACAGCCATCTTCAAATTCACCGCCATGAAAACTTAAAAAATTACGGTTTTTCATTTCCTTATCATATAGGACATCCATTTTTTTTCCTGGCACCAGTATTTCATCTCTGATAGTAATGCTGAATAAGAATTTAGAATTAGGATTAGAATGTATTTATATCCCATAAATCCTCAATTTGCCGTAAGTTTAGGATGTATAACATGTCAGTTTGAAGATGGCTGTCTTCTGGGTTGTTGCGCTGTGTAGTCTGGTAAAAGTTTACCGACGTTTCAGAGGTCCTTGCTGCCGCCATCATCAGGCCGATGATGGTGGTAGCAAGGACCTCTGAAACGTCAGTTACTGCCAGACTACACTGTGCAACAACCCAAAAGACAGCCATCTTTAACATGATTGTTTGGAAAGTAAATTCTCCAGTAATTCTGCATATACTCTTAATTTTCCATCACCAAGTTCAAGAAACCGTTTTGCGAAGTTATTCTTTGGCCATCGTTCTTATATTTTCTTTCAGTTTCACTATTTTAATTTGTAGCCATATACTACTTCATGCAACACAATTCCAACAATTTATGATATATCTGTAATACTTGGCAGAAGCTCTTAAAAACTTTCCTTTAAAAATCATAAAGTCTCAGATCTTCATCCTGTGTTAGGTTGTTACATTAGGTTAGATAAGATTGTGTTATTTACAATGGGTTAGGTTGTGTCCTGGAGAATTTCTAGCGTGTTCATCGGGTGGGCATGGGGATGTCCTGGAGAAGTGCTGGAGAAATCCTGGATAAGCCTTAGAGTTTTGCCAGAGAAGTCCTGGAGAGTTTACGAGGAAGTTCTTTGGTCATGGAGAAGTACTGGAGAAATCCTTGAAGATTATGTGGAAGTCCTTAAGTGGCAGTGGGTTTCATCCTATGCGGGTTAGTTATTTTGGATTAGTTTATGTTTAATTGGGATAAGATACATTGGATTAGGTTGCGTTATATTGGCTTAGGTTAGGTTAGGTTAGGTTTAGCTAGGTTAGCTAAGGTAATGTTTGGTTGTTTAGGTGTGGTTAGAGAAGGTTGTTTTGGTTTGCGGTGGGTTAGATTGTCCTGGAGAATTTATAGCGTGTTTATCGTGGGGATGTCCTGGAGAATTCCTGGAAGAGTTCTGGATAGGTCATAGAGTGGTGTAGGACAAGTCCTGGATAGTTTATACAAAATTTCATTGGTCATGGAGAAGTCCTTTAGAAATCTGGGATAATTGCTAGTGTAGTGCCAGAGATGTCCTGGAGAGGTTATGCGGAAGATTGTTAGTCGTCGAGAAGTGCTGGATAAATCCTGGAGAAGTGTTGGAGAAGTCCAGGAAGGTTATGTGGAAGGCACATTCCAAAAGATGGGGCTACTTGAAAGAGGATAGGTTCGAGTCAGAAGCAATTTTAGTTGGAGTCGGTGTCGGTAAATATGTACTGACTCTGACTTCGATATAAAATCTCAAGAACAATTTCTGTTCCGTGTGAGCCGCTGGCGGCCTCATGCTTAGGGAGATTCAACGACATGTTGAGCCACATGGTGTGGGAACAATGCTTTGTAACTTTGGCTCCAATACCTTAAGAATGCAAACTGTCTACAAATCAACCGATTTCTGCAATAACCATTAGACGTATATTTAAATATAGGTTATAAGTCTAAAAAGTAGGCTGATGATTCACGTAGTGGTGATGAAGTCTCTTATGGTGCCATTTAACATTTTAGTACGTTTACCCCTATTAATTCATATTGAGCTTTTATGAAGGTGTCGGTATCAGAGATTTGCATGTGCATGGTCCACATTATATTCTGTTTGATATCCACAATACTGTCATTGTTCAACAAAACATGAAGCATCTAAATAAAGCTTCCATCCCCTGTTATATGTTTATTTAAAATGTTTGCTCACAGGCATCTACAAACACAGCCATTCAGAATGTTTCAGTCAGTGGGTTGGAACTCTGAAAATAATATAATATCATTACTGTTGATGTTTAGCTGTTAAGTATGTCTCTGATCTGACAATTTACATGAAGATTCTAAAATTGACATTGTTTTTACATTCTAGGCATGCAGTTGTTAGAGTGCATTGTGTCTAGAATATTTTTTATCATTTCACTATTCATAGTATAGCATGTGGACAGTTTCCATTTACAGTGATTATCCAAGGAAAGTTTAGTTGGAGGTTAGGTTTGTCATTATTCTGATACGTAGTAGAAATATATTTATCCTACTTCCTGTAAATTTTGTGAGAACATGGGCTCAATGAGTTACAACAGATACTAAATACATCTATATTTCACATGAATACATACAGTTTCCACATTGCTCCAAGACAGTAACAACATATAACAGTATACAGCTTGAGTATATATAAAAATACTGTGGGATCTTCATAAAAAAGTGTAAGGAGAATACAATTCAATATAGAAACAAAAAATACCAACACTTTCAGACATGGCATATAAGCTCTGGGACAAGGTTTCTTTTGGAAGAAATGTAGTGGTAGCTAGTTGCTCATACTGCTCTTCTCTTGGAGGATCTGATAATAACAAGCCTGCAATGAATAATAAATGCATTAATATATATTAATCATATTTATTTACGTAGGTGGTAACCTCAAAGCCAGAGTATTTTACTTCAGTCAATCACTATATAGCCTGAGAGTCTTTCATCAGTCACTATATACATACAGGAAAAATCAGTTTTGAACCAAATATGGATCACTTGTATGTTTCCATTTTTTGGGTAACTATTAAAACACATTATACTGAAATTCAGACTCCAGTATGCACTATGACCACAATTAATGTATATGTGTAAATTGAAGATTCTAGACAGTTCCCAAGTTACAGATGTCAAAATTACAGATATTCATGCATGTAAACAAAGTAATATCTACCTCAGTATGTCAATAATTTGGTAGCACAAATATGCATTTTCTGAAATTCTGAGCAAAGAAAAATCGTTAATAGCTGAAAATGAGTGGCAGCATTCAAGAAAATAAATAAAAAACTGTTGTTCTGTTTGTTTTTCTTCTCTTAGAAATTAGATTACATTAGACAAACTGTTGTGTGCTGGGTTGGGAACCTGAACACCATTTATATCATTTGGACTATGGGAAACAGACACTCAAATTTGGACAAAGACTGAAAGGGTAAAAACAAAATGGTACCAAAATTATAATTCTGCAATGTGGAAATATCAGTAGCAAGCAGTTGTCTATCCAAAAATGCTTTCATATGGGAACAAACACACTATATCTCTTGTTTTGTAATACCTTTAGAGTAGTAAACATGATACCAAGTTCCCCATTCTGCAGATGTGGCTCCATGAAGTCCTCAATAAAATGAATCTCAGAACCAAGCTGCAGGATGCGTGATCTCACTACCACAAAGTGAAATACAGGAAACAGTTCATCCATTGTCCACATGTACGAAGTTCCCAGCAAATGTTGCACTGCCTACAACAGTAATATTTACTAAGAACATAAGCACTTTCGCTGGATTTACATTACTCCCTGTAACTAGTGAGGCCTCTTGACAAAGAATGTCTCTGTAGGAAGGTATATCAAGATACAGGTTAATTGCATTCCTGGAAAATGTATAAGCTGAAGCCCCCCCTCATTACACTTATGGTGGTTATTTCTGTAAGTGTATATTTTTAATGGGAAATATGGCTACAGCAATATTCTCAGTTTTAAAAGTGAAACAAAATTAAGAGTTTGAGTAAAGTGAACTTCCTTCTTGCAATTTAATGTTTTCATTTTCTTTTCTGGGACTTTTTTCAAGACGGCTTCCGCTGATGTCAAGATGTCTGATATTTGTTGAATGTTGCACATTCACTTAATCTAAATGGTCATTCTCTCTACTGTACTCTTGATCAATTGCTAGTGTTTAATGAATCTTACTCGTGTCATCTGCTCAAAAGTCCTTCGTATGACTAGTAACTTCTCGAGGGGTGAAAATGTTGTCTTGAGTTGCTGCAGTGTTTCCACTGCATCATTGAAGAGCTGATCATCCAGTGGGGAAAATGGAGGCTCACAACTTCGATGATGGTTAGATGCCACACAGAACTTCCTGTCAAAAACATTTACCTGTTAGAACCAGAGTTACTACAACTTTATTCCTGTGGGAATTCTTGGAATCCTGTAACTGAACTTGCACAATACCTCTAATGTTAAGCCTGATATTACATGTTATGCAGAAGAAATTAAATTAGGCATGACACAACGAAGTAAAGGCTGTTAACAATTTCTTTGGGAAACAAGCCCTCAAAAGTTCATGTCATCATAACACTGTTACTTTCAAATATGGTTGGTATAGTGTCTCCATGGATGGTCTATGATGACCTTTCCTGGTCTCTGCTGAGCCTAGCCAAGTCTAGAATCAATTTCTGAGGTCAGGGATGATATGCTCAGCAAAGAGGACCACAGTTTAATGTGGGTCATGAATCATGTTGTGGGCCTGGTATACTCCACTTTCCCAAGTTTCACTTTTGGCAGAGGTGAAGGTAGCCATCTGCAAGCAGTAACATGCACACATAGATCTGACTAGTGATCAACCCAGAATGCTTTGAAAGACGGACTAATCAATATCTTACCCCGATACGAGATCTCACGTATATAAACATACATTTCATCATATTTTGTAGGTATGGTATAATCTTCCAGCATGCAAAATTTAAAGTGATAATCTACAATACTTCACCATATATCATAAGATCAAGAGGTGAATATATATTTTTCATGTTTCATCTTTGTGTTTTAGACACCTTAACAAGCTAATATATTTCAGAGTTACAAAGAGGTAAGACACACCCATTAACAATATTACACTACTTACTGGTCAATACCAAGGAATGCCATGAGGGTGATATCAGGTTGTTTATTCCACTTGAGGAGACGCTTCCAGTATGCATCATCCTCGTCCATGTTGTGCAGCGCATACAGCACAAATAAAGCTGAATGCACTCTTGGGAGCAGAAATGGGTGTAGCAGTGCTGCAGCACTTACCACTTCACTACAACATGATAATCATTTCAGTAACTTAAAGCTACTTTATCCTTTCTCTGCCATACTGTAATATTTAGCATGCCTTATGTACAGGATCTGAAGAAATAAACTATGGTTTCAAATGCATATGATTACATAAAAACTTACAGTACAGCATCACAGAAGATGTAAAAAAAAGTCACATTTACCAGTGGTACCAATAATAACTTTGATTTCTCTTTTACAGTTCAGAGGATTCAGAAGATATGGACCAAACATTCTTTTAATATTAAACTGCTTTCCATTAGGGTTACAACCTGGTTTGTCCTTAAAAATCCCCACAAAGAGTAATGGCAGAGATGGCGGTTAGATAATGCAGCAAAACAAATGTTTTACATGAAATTGTATTAGAATCTTTCATTAATTAAAGACAGTAATGATTTTAATTTTTATACGCTGCTTTGTCAGACCTGCCAATTTTTTTAAGTACTACTACAGATTTTCCTGTCTTTCTTGATGTGCAATTTGCTAGTGTACCATAAAAGTGTCATGGATGCTGGCTATGTCTCCATCTTCAGGTAGAAAGAAAGGGTACCTAATTTGTCAGGATCAATATATAAAGCTGTTTCTTGTCACTGGGATCAGAAGCAGGCAAGTCATTGTTTGATAATTAAAATTATGTATAGGTGGTACAATTGATTTCAGGGTCAAGTCACCTCTCCAGCTCAGCTTCCTGATTTTCCACAAGCTGCAACTCCTGGCCAAGTGATGGAAGAGCAGGAAATAAGATTCGAACAACCTCATATAGGCGTGCTGTGACCGAATGAAGTTCAGCAACTGCATGATCTAGCAGGAGAGGATGGACGCGAACGCCACCATATGTTGCCGTGTACGCTGCTGTCACCTCGGCCAGCAGTCTTCCCAGAGGATGATGCTGACTCTCAAATGCCTGCATGCAACACAGGTTACATTTTAATCATAGAATTTAAGCACTCTGTTTGGAGATTTTTTGTAAGAAAATCTTAAAGATTTGGGTACTTTAACTTGGTGTAACAACACAATGTGTTCTGATTTCCTGTTGTAGTCATTATTTCTTATTATTTTCTACAAAGAACAGAGTTGAACACTTCCTGACAGTCCTGAAACAAGAGGTACATTACAAATTTGGATTCTCTGTTTTGATACTGCCAGTTCATTAATTATGAAAATACTATTCATTCAGCTCTTTTCCTAGGGTTAAAGTAGCCAGAGTAGGAAGCTGACAATTCACTTTCATCTTCTAACAAAGATAAGAATGCATATCCAAACGTTTCATAGAAAAGGACACACAAATTTCATGTGTATTGGAACCCTCTAATCAAACTATAACACATTTTTCCAGACAGTCTTGTATTTCCTTAACTAGTGAAATTGCAATTCCAGTACAGTAGTTTCCAGGTTTGTTATGGACTGTACCAAATTTATCATTCTAACTTATCTTTTGGCCTGTATATACTAATCTTGAAGCATTCAAAAGCAATTCAAATTATTCATAGAGCACATTCAGTTCACATGATAGCAGTGTCCTTGAACAGACATATGGCTGCGATTCATAAAATACTGTAGGCATACCGCTGTGCCTAAAGACTATGCCATGCAGACATATATGGGACATTGAGGTAGAGCTCCATGCACTAGAAGGTGATTGTCAGATTCATGCTTCAGATGCTGCTTGCAGGTTGCTTGTATGAAGTGGACTCTCATGTTGTGTAAGAGAGATATCAACAGCATGAGAATCTGACACCTCAGACTCTGGTGACAGTAATACTAGTGTTGGTCCTGAACTTGAACATGAGATGAACCTGAACCATTTCCAGTAGCTTCTATCAGCAGACTTGCAAAAAGGAAGCAGATGATGAAATTTAATTTCTGTAGAAAAGCAAAAATTGCTATAACCTGAAATTATATAACCTTCTGACAAAAACACCTTAAGAGTGCTAACAATGCTTTCTCAGCTTCACCGATTATGAGTGAATGATGAGTTTGGAAAGGATATATAAGTAGCCATGATCTGTTTTGAGGTACTATTTCAGAATTTGCCCACAGGGACTAGGAAACCATGAAAAAGCACTTTATCTCTAACAGTTTTATGATCCTAAGTTCTATTTTTTACAGTATTTTGTTCCATCATATACATTCATAAACTATTTCATAATTTTATTTCCCCTTCCACACCTTAACTAGATATGAGCGCAGTTCATGGTATGATTCCTTGTCAAGTCTATCTCTGCCAAACTGTGGTATTGTGTCCAGATGGTCAGACAATGGAATTCTCCGTTCCTGCCACGAGTTGTTGATGATCACTGCAACGTTCTCCCACACCTTTTGCAGCTCTACATTTGGCTTACTGCCCTTTGCTGCTGTTGGTTCTGGCACGCCTAACTGCTGATAGCACTGCCGAAAAATGGCCTTCCACTTCTGATTTGCAGCAACACACAATTTTCCGAAGGAGCTGCAGCACATGTAAATAGAAGACAAGGTAATGTAAGAACAGGAATTTTATCACTGTCTTTACTCATGATATTTTCCTGCTATCCACTTTTTTCTTTTAACTCACCTGTGGTGAGTACATGACTTTCTTTTTGCTGGAGCCCTGCTCAAAGTTATACTTAAGATAGAATACGATATCATTTTATGCAGCAGAGGTAGACTTCACTTGTGAAAGAGTGATGCCACCAAATTATAAACATTGCTGGCTACCACACATTACAGGGGCAGACTACTGCATACTTTTAATTTCATGGCTACCTGCTTGTCACATGGAAATTACTGTAAATGTACCTTGGTTTTGTACTGAGTTGATTAGGGGGAGTGGTTGTGTTTTTATACAGAGTTCCCGTTATCTTGACACCTTCATTCCATGCACCATGTAATGTGCCTTCTAGACGATCACCACTGTTGAATGTTAATGTTCCTTTTCCACTAAACACACCTG